CCTCAAGAGCACAAGCGGCCACCAGTGCATCAGCTGAGTAGCTGGAACGCACGGGCAAGCAACGCGACTTGCAGCACGCATCAGTCAGATGAACTACGGCCAGGCCACTGGGCGCGCGTCAGCGCCGTCAAAAGTTGGCCCCATCGGATGCCATATCCCTTCACTTCGTCGTCTCCGCCCCCAATTAAGGCGACAGCATCCTGAGTCACTGTGAGGGTTCACTTCTCCTGTCGGAGTCACCCGTTGATACGCGATGACGCGGGCATTGCTGAACTTCTCGCGCGACAGCAAATGGGCCTGCGCACTTGGAGGTTTGCGGGCCCCTGTGCACGCTGCAGAGACACCACGCGCGCCATCGACCGCACTTGAGTGATCAATGCATACGCCAAGGCGCCACGTAGACTGACGCACATCTCGGGCACGGCATTCGTCGCCTATTCATCCACTACAGCACCCGCAAGTTCTGGGCGCTGCGTCGGACGAAGCTGCCTGATGCACGCATTTTGGTCTAGCTGGACGCGGCCGCCCTCGGTCTCAGCGCATCGCGCGGCACAGTGGGTGCAAAGGTGTTTGTTCAAATTACATGCGCCGAATGCACCTTCTACACACGTGACGCACGCGTCGATCAAGTCCCCCACCCCTGCCACGGTGACGTCGCCAACGCGCCCGGCCGCTCGGAGTTTTGGGCTTGTTCCAAATTCTTCATGCGACGCAGCAATTATCCCGAGACCTCGCGCGATGGTTCTGAGCTTCAGTGAGAATGCCCTGGGGGCGCCCTGGGCGCCTGCGCCTGGTTCAAGGCACTGGAGACAGTGCTTCGTCTCGTCACGGGACGAGAAACTGGGCAATGCGCGCGCCAGCGAGGCTAAACCAGGCGGAAGAGCGAAGCAGACCATGCGCTCCTTCTCAGCAGCGGCCTCAGACTCTTGGACAAAGCCTCACCGATGCCCATGGATGCCATGATCCAATGCCTCTTGCACGCGGCCGCGCCGGCGAGCAATTTCTGGCCTGCTCGACGAGGCGCGCGTGAGAGGGTTTCTACGTCGAATGCTTCGACGCCCATAAAACCACGAAGCACAAGGCACAGTCGCATCGTTCGTCCCATGTCGCCTTTATCGTGCTTAACGAACTTACACATGTGCACGTATCTAGAGGTCATTAGATTGGTAGCACTTGATGTCTTGCATCCTGCAACATGTGCTACCATACCATATGCTAAAATCAGTGCCCATATATTGAGATATCTTCGTCGGGTTGGATTTGATTTCTGCCTTCGCCAGGAGGGTCTTCCTTGACAACCGCAGCTCCTTTAGCTGCGGCAGAGACAAATACACGCATTGCTGTTACTTGGTCGTTGCGTAGCGACTCGCATTGCTGCTGTGATAGAACGACCTCGCCCATGTCAGCAGCAAAGCATAACTTGACATACCTATACAACCACCCTTCGGGTAATAAGGAGGTTCAGGGGGGGGGGGGGGGCAACGTCTCACTCGATGGGTCTCACTATCGATCTCGCGATCGATATCACTATCGGTCTCGCTCGATCGGTCTCACTCGATCAATCTCACACTCGATCTGACTCGATCTATTTCATTTAACCGATCTCACAATCGATCTGACTATCGATCTCACAATCGATCTCACGATCGGTCCCACTATCGATCTCACATACGATCTCACATTCGGTCTCACGATCGATCTCACTATCGAGACCACAATCGATCTTACAACCAACGTCATCATCATCGTGATAGACATCATCGTCATCAACGCCATCATCATCAACATCATCATCATAGGGACACCATCATCATCATCATCACCTCATCACCACCATCACCCACACCAGCATCATCACCATCATCATTATTGTGACACCAGCATCGCCCCCATCATCATCAACAACATCATCAACATCGGGACACCATCATCAGCAGCAGCATCGGAACACCACCATCACCATCATCATCATCAAATGATCACCATCACGAACAACATCATCAGCATCATCGCCAACGGAACACCATCATCATCATCAGCAACATCATCATCATCATCGACTTCAGCAGCATCATCACCATCGGGACACCATCATCATCGTCACCATCATCAGCATCACCATCATCATCATCGGGACACCCTCACCATCATCCACATCAGCATCATCATCGGGCCACCATCACCAAAATGATCATCCTCACCTCATCCTCATCCTCATCATCAACATCATCGTCATCAATATCATCACCGGGACATCACCCTCGTCCTCAGCATCACCAACACCATCAACATCATCGGGACACCATCATCATCATCACCGCGATCACTATCAAAGGCATCATCATCAACCTCACCATCACCATCATCATCGGGCCACCATCATCACCATGATCTTCAGCATCATCATCAGCATCGTCATCAGCATCATCACCAGCACCATCAACATCATCAGGAACAGCAACACCATGATCATCGGGGCGACATCATCATCAGCAACATCAGCATCATGAACATCATCACCATCGGGACACCATCATCATCACCACCATGGCCATGACCATAACCATCATCATCAACATCGCCACTATCATCATCATAATCGGGACAACATGATCACCAACACCATCACCGATATCATCACCATCATCAACATCCTCGACATCACCATCATCAACATCATCATCCTCACCATCATAATCATCATCGGGACACCGACGGGCCACCGGCGGGACACCGGCGGGACACCGCGGGCGACCGGCCCCCGGAAAGGAAACACGCGGCCCGGCCGCGCCTCAACCGGAGGCGGGACACCGGCGGGACACCACGGGCCACCGGTTGCCGGAAGGGAGTCATTTGGTCCGGCCGCGCCTCAGCCAGAGGAGACTCTTCTCGCCCGCCCACGCAGCTTCGCCTCGCCCGCGCGCACGGCACGCGCGAACACAAAACCGAGACCGATTTCCCGGTAGGGGGGCTCTCCGTTCCACTTCGATCGCACCCCCTCACCTCCGACTGATCGTTGTCGCCCGAATTGAGATCGCAGGTCCCGTCGCATTCGGCGGCCCAAATAACCAGGCAAGTTTAGTCGGCATCGCGATTCCGAACGTAATCTATTTCTCGCAAGTGTCATTGCTCTTCACTGGCGACAGCCACGAACATTTGGTCATCGGTAACAATTTGGGTGGGCACGGAGCACAGGGGCTCCCATGAGGGGCCCAGGGGGTCTCGAGCAATTCCTTCTCCTCTTGGAAATCGACATACCACGCGCCCATGGCGCGCGCTTCCAGATCCGTTTCTGACTCTTCAGCAACAGCCGGCAGTCTGCCGCCAAGCACAGTCGGCGACGAAAGTCCGCCCTCCCCACGGGCGCGTCCGCCGGACGGCGGCGCGTCCGCCAGGCCCTCGGACTTCGAGAGACCCCCATCAAAGCCTGCCAAAGGTTTTGATGACTTTAGGCGCTGAGCGGTTCGCGCGCGCGCGGCGCCGCGCCTCCTGA